CCTGACACACAGACCAGGGACAGGAGAGGAAGAGGGGGACACCGTCACCTGACACACAGACCAGGGACAGGAGAGGAAGAGGGGGACACCGTCACCTGACACACAGACCAGGGACAGGAGAGGAAGAGGGGGACACCGTCACCTGACAGGCAGGCCATGGTGCGGGTCGGGAAGAGTGGTTCAGGAGAGGGAAGACGTGGGACTCCATCGTCCTCCCAGACTCAGAGCAGGTGCTGGGCCCTCTTTGCTCTGTGCCAGCTGGTCCAGTGTACCTGGCAGCATGACTGAAGGTGGCCGCCCCGCAGGGACCCCATCCTCCACAGGCTCTGTGCTCACAAGCTCCTCCCTGCGCTGACACCACTCTCCAGGAGGAGCCTGCCGTGGTCAGAGTCCTTTCTGTGTCAGTCAGAAGCTCTGAAGGGATGTAAGCTCTAGTCACCGTTGCTTCCATTCGGCCGTGTATTTTTACAGCATGTCACAGTTCTGACCTCTCAGGATCATCCCTGTGCGTTTTAGCTTTGTGCACGTGGTTTTTTTCTCTTAATAGCCAAAGAAGGAGAACGGGAGGTCCACCCTGAGTACAGGTCTGCAGAACTCGGGTGCAGCCTCCTCCCAGAGCAGGAGGGGCTTCCCCTCTGCAGAAGGCTGGGCGTTCCGTCAAGGGGTCAGACATCTGCCTGGTTGGCCTGGCGCATCCCCCAGGCTCCTGTATGAAGGCTTGGTCCCCATGTGGCAGCTTCATGGGGCTTTGGGGATTGGTGGATGTCGAGGGCTCTGACCCTGATTGAAGGGACTCCTGGGAGGACCCGCGGTCTGGCTGGAGTGCGTAGATCCTCGGTTCCCACTCCTTCTTCTCTCTGCTCCTCAGCTGCCATAAGGTGACACCCTCCCTCAGCCATGTCCTTCCGCCATGATGCCCGCCTCCCCCCCCCCGGGCCCAGAGTAATGGGCAGCAGCCATGGACGGCAGCCTCTGGCACCACAAGCCTAGCACATCTTCCTCCTCTGGGAAGACACATGGATGGCAACGGAGACGCAGAGATGCTGACTGAGGCTCGGTCAGGAGACCCCGGCCAGCCCAGTGGGGGGGCAGGCTGGACTCCC